GTTCAAAAGAAACAATCTAGATTGTTCGTTTGTTCAAAGAACTTATAGGATTGTCTGCTGTCCCTATCCTGAAAGTTGACAACGAATCAGCAAGAAAACTCTGTGAAAACCCCGAGTTTCACTTTCGTACAAAACATATTCAGCGGAAGTACCTGTTCATTCGAGACAGGATAAATATAGGTATGCTGACTGTAAAGCACATCGGTTCAGAATATCAACTAGCAGATATACTGACAAAGCCTATACCTCGACCAAGACTTCAAGTTCTGCGAGAAAATCTTGGACCTCGGAATGACTATGCAAATAAGGGAAAGTGTTGAAAATGCCTGCCTTTTCTATTTATTTGTAATAGTCATACAGATGATATGAATGTTGTTTTTACTATCAGCTGTCTGTTTTGTTGTCCAATATTGCTCCTTGTCATGAAAACATTAATGAGAAATACATTTGATTATTTTATAGTTTAAATTCGTTTTTCGTCGTAGTTTTGCTTAGATTATCCCTAAACATCTCCACTTGGGAGAATAATTCAAGACCGTAGCAAATTTCAAAACTTTCAATATTAAATAGTATTCATATTTAGAGCACCTGATATCATATTTAAGAATACCACAACCCAATTGGCATGTTGCTAGCTATAAAACAACAACAAAATGGTAGTGTCTCAGACTTAGATGTGGAAGGGACAGATTTAATTCCTAGCACAACCACAAAATCGTTGCACAAAAACTTTATTCTCATGTTGACCCCTTGTAAAATGTCACTGGCACTGGCGTAGAAAAAATGAGAACACTGAGAACCAATTCTCCAGGCGGTAGCAGTGACGGGACGCCGACGGCAACGTTAGTTGGGTAGTGTACTTTGTGTAGGTTAACTGTTGCTTACTGGGCAGGTATAATGCAGTCGTTTTGGGTCCAAGTTCTTAAACACTTCTTAGATCAAAAAAGTTCAGTGGTTCGAAATCTTGGTCTGATTTTGGACATTTTCCGTTTAGCATGCACATTGGCACCAGTTGAAAGCATGGTGGAAGGAAAATACATCCGCCATAAGTTGAAAGGGTGTTTTTGTAATTCAATACCGGTAATGCTTGAATGTGTTGTAAAGTTGCGGTATTCCTTTGATATTAAAACCCCAAGTCTCAATAATGCAAAAACATGTCATTATACAAGTTTATTTTTAGACATATCTTTGACCTTTAAATAAACTGGGAAGCTTGAACACATTAAACTAGGCCCTCAAAATAGCTTAAAACCACTCGTTTTAGCACGTTATTTCCAAATTTTTTCCATACCCCCCAGGCCCCCCGGTGACCCCCCCCAAAATATATGTCTAGGACCGCCCTTGAGTTCAAGTAATACTGATACTACACAAAGCATCAAGCTAAGAAGAAAAAACTAAACTACCTGAAAGATATAAAGATTTTGTGATGTTGACATATGAAGAAGCAATCAAAGGACCAGATAAAAAAAATTGGCTACAAGCAATTGAGGATGAGAAAAACTCCCTTATTGAGAATGAAACGTGGGAAGTGATTGACAAAAAGCAAGCACTAAACAAGAAGATCCTAAGTAACAAGTGGGTATTAACAAGAAAGGATAACGGAAAATACAAAGCGAGACAGTGTAAGAGGTTTTGCCCAAGAAAAAGGTATAGATTATGAAGAAACCTACAGCCCAGTTGTAAGTAATTCAACTTTACGTTTGTTATTTTCATTAGCTGCCAAACAAAATCTCAAACTAATGCAATTTGATGTTAAAACTGATTTTCTCTATGGAAATTTAGATGAAGAAATTTATATGTGTGTACCTGAAGGGTTTGATTATAAAGATAAAGTTTTGAAATTAAGAAAGACTTTATATGGACTTAAACAAGCTCTCTTTAAATGGAACCAGTTGTTTACAAACTGCTTACTAAAATATGGCTTAAAACAAACTCAGTCTGACCGTTGTGTTTTTACAAATGGCAGTATTCATCTTGCTTTATTTGTTGATGATGGAATTCTTGCTGGTTCAGATGAAAGAGAGATGAAGAAACTTTTGAACGAGCTGTCTAGAGATTTAAAATAAAAACAGACAAAAACCCATCAAACTTTCTTGGAATGGAAATTTTATATTCAAGGGAAGGGATATTGTTAACGCAAAAGAACTATTTAAACAGTATTCTCGAAAAATATGGAATGATAGATTGTAAACCTGTAGACACTCCCATTTGTCCAGTGAAAACGAGCAAACCTGATGAAGAAGTAAGCTGCCTGACAAAAGATTATCCTTACAGAGAAGTTGTAGGAAGTTTGCTGTACTTATCCAATAAAACCAGACCTGATCTTACACTTGCTGTGGGATTAGAAAGTAGACGTGTTGAGAATCCAAGCAATGAAGATGTTGTAAATGTCAAACGAACCTTAAGAGGTACTCAAGACGCAGGAATATTATTTTCAGCATCAGGAGAAAATTGCCTAAATGTATATTGTAACGCAGACTATGCAAATGACAAGCATACAAGAAGAAGTACTACTGGATTTGTCATAATGTATGGAGAAGACCCAATAAACTGGTGTACAAGAAGACAACCGATTGTAGCTTTGTCCAGTACTGAAGCAGAATACATTGCAGCGGCGGAATGTGTCAAAGAGTTGTTATATTTAAAAACTTTCTTGCAAGAGTTGAGTGGAACTAATGTTGAAACAAACCTAAACATGGACAATCAAAGTGCTATTAAGCTTTGTAAAAATGGAATTTTTAATAAGCGAAGCAAACACATTGATGTTCGCTACCATTTTTTGACTGAAAATGTAAGGCAAGGTAAAATAAACATTTCTCTTGTTTCTACATCCGAGAATGTTGCGGATATGTTTACAAAACCCTTGAACAATGTTAAGTTTCATAAATTCAGTAAAGCTTTGATCAACTATCCAAAATCTTGAACAGAAGACGATAATCGAGATATTTATTTTATGTTTCTTATATAAAATTAAAATTAAGGGAAGGTGTTGAATGTAATTTTATTTTTATATAATATGTTTGCTGTTACTTATTCTGTATTTAATTTAATTTATGTTCGTAACAGCTGATCATCCTACTAATATTATAAATGAGAAAGTTTGGATGTACCGGTATGGATGTATGTTTGTGACAAGTAAACGCGAAAAATACTGGTCGGATTGGGCTGAAATTTGGTATGATGATAGCTCACATTCCCGATTAACATATAGACGCATTCTTATCTCAAAAGTCCTATCGGGCTCTGCCCCAGTGGCTCTGGAGTTTCCCATGTTAACCTTATGAGTAATCATATTTAAAAGGAATAAAAGAATTTTGTCAGCTGCTTCAACTACACAAGTTGGTTCTATGATATTGAATAGCATTAAAACGTTACAAGGTTTACCAACAGGGTGCAGTACTATTATTTTTTTACATTTATGACAACATCTATCCTATAAAGGCAATAAAGGTTAAATTATGTTTTAAAAGGCTCATGTGTAACTATTTTATCAACAGATGTAAAGATCAAAATGTTTCTATTTCGTGTTCTCTTCCCGTTGCAAAGCACGGGTACAACAGCTAGTGTGTAAATAGTTAGGATTGTTTTTTATTGTAATGAGAATTGTAGAATAAGTTTTTTTTTTGTAAAAAGGTTGTGTGTGTATACTTCAGTAAAATAAAAGATGATTATTGTAACAGTAAAAACTTAGGTGTTAGTAATTTACTTTCACTTAAGTCAACAGTGGGAACGAGGAATTTGCTACAAACATTTACTGAAAGTTGAAATGAAATATTTACTACCTATTTGAATTTTGGTTGGCGAATTTATTATGGACAACCTACTGTAATGCGGCTATGCTATGAGTAAGGCTATTTTTGTAGAAAACACTTTTTACAAGAAATGTTTATTATATCGATCTGTTATGTACATCTTGAGTATTTCCATAATCTTTTAATCAAATCTTTTAAAGTCATTAGAAATTATGACTGTTATTCGTTTTAAAATAATGCCTGTAATACTTAGCAATTGCTCGAATTCGAGCAACAGGTACACTAGTTGAAAGTAAAAACAAGTTTCTTTTTTTCAATAACAATAACAGGTAAATAATAACATATAGTAAAGGTAAACATTTTTCAGTATTTAATACATCTTATAAACTATCTAAAAACAATTCTGGATGTTCTCTACTTATTTAAAAGAAATATTACCAACAGTAATAAAGATTGTAAATCAGAAACTTGTATTTTTACATGTCAGTATCACATAGACACAAAATTGAAAAAAGGCCTGAGAAAAGGTATTATATATTTTAGGCCTGTGAAAAAAGGATTGAGTTTATATTTTACACCTTATTGTCCAGAAAATATACTTACAAGACAATTACATACAGGGTGTCCAAAAACGTAGAATGATAAAAGTACACAATGACCCTCTGGGAAAATAGATATTTTTACCTTAAAATACATACCATGTTTAATAAAGATCGGTTGGATGAATTAAAAGATAAAAATGTGTATATATAAAAAACATCTAAAACATAAAAGTGGCTGATATCTGGGTAGATATGCATTTTCGGATATACCTTCATTTGATATTTTTATTTTTGTATGAGGAATCATATTCCAGGTGTATTTGTACAGGTTAAGTGTAAGAAAGGGCCATGTGGCCCTAACTTTGCCAGTCTAAATAAATAATTTTTTTATTTCATTTTATTTCACTCCAAGCCACTGAAACGTATAATAAGTCACCTCTCCATAATCTCTATTTTGTCAATCTGTTTCAATAAAATATTATTTGAAAAATATTGCTATGGTAGAACAAGTTTACCCTTAACTTTTTTACTCTAAACTTAAACTTGATTTACTGTACCAATGTCGAATTCTGTACTTGTTTTACGACAATAACAAATTTGTATTTTGTTCTAGCATTTTAACATTCATACTGTTAATTAAATACTTCTGAAAGTCCTCTTCTCCAGAGCAAAACCTTACATTGTGCTGTTAAAGCTCAATTTAATCTTACTGATTATTTCCAGCTCCAGGAATACTTGGTAGTTCTGATGAAAGCTTTGGATCTAAGTTTCTATGGGGGTTGAAAAAAAACCTAAATGTTTTCATTTCCTTTACACCATAGCAAGCTGAACTTATCACAAGTAAGCTAATTAAGATAATACTGAGAGGAACTAACAACTCTACCCTGGTGGCCTCAGAGACTGGGGAACTTTCAGTTTCACTTTCTGTCACATAATCTGGTAGAATGTTCATATCACACAATTTTTCCTCCTCCAATCGAGTGTTGTTTGTGAGACAGACGTCTCCTTGAATCAAAGCATAACTGAAATCTTTCAACGACACTGTACAGTCTAAGCTGCAGTAGTTGTTGAAGAAAATACTTTGTAATATTTCATGAGAAGAGTTTGTTAGAATCAGCATATCTTGCTTTGGATTCAAAATACTTGTTCTTTTTGAAGCACAGTCACAATTGATTAAGTTATTCTCTATCGTCATTCCCCAGCCCATGTCTAACAATACACCACCTAGGTCTACATCTTGGATTGTGTTGTTTGTGAAGAACGTGTCTTGAAGTGTAGAAACGTCACTTAAAGCTCCAGCAGGAAGAATGTCAAAGTTGTTGCCACTGATGTATATTCCCGGAGAACTGAGGTTAAACACCTTCTTGTTGAGATGCTTGAAGTGGTTATTTACAATCTTGATACTGGATTCTGCCGTGATTTTGAAACCTCCTTCAGCTACAGATTCAAATGTGTTATTTTCTAGTTTGATGTGATTGCCACAAATTATCAGTCCTCCCTCTGGTATTGGGTTAAACTGAAAAATTATAGTTTTTGAAGCACTCAAAAAATAGGATAAATAATCAAGAATATGAATTGGTTTATAATTAGAGAACATGGATTTTCCGGGTGATAATTATTGAGATTATCACGAGACATCAGCACTGTTGCTCCTTATCAACATGTATGCTTGCCCCCTCACTCCATGTGTCCCATAGTAAGAGGCACAATTACAACTGACTATCAGCTCAAATACTAATCACTGGGAGGCTTCCGCTACTCAACCAACAATGTTTAGTAAGAAATATATATGCATAAGGCAAGAAAACGTATTTTATTGGAATTTAATTGGTAATTGAGCTTGATTAATAATATAAATATAATTCATATAATTATTTTAGTGTATCATATGCTTACATTTTTACTGAGTTATTCTTAAGCATGACAACGTTCAGTTCCCAGTTCCCACTTAGAAGGAGATACAAGTGGTTTCATTACAAACTGACAGAGGTCTTGGGGAGAGTTTGTTTCCATTTCAACATACCGACCCCCAAAAAATTACAATAAATAATACAAAATTATATAATTTAAATGGTCCATTTAGTATTTTGGTACCGATAATCAAATAAATTCCACCAAAATCATATTAATGGTGTGGACTTAGCTCTGTAAACATTCACCCACACATTTGTGTGAAAACACAAACTCACACTCACTCTCACACACACAATTTGTCCATTGATTGCTTACCACACAGTCAAAAAATGTAAATTGCAACTCCAAGTTTTCAAAACAGTTCCTTTCTTCTTGAGTGCCCAGAACAGTGAGTGAACCAACATTACCAATTTTGACAGTATAGTTGGCATTAAAACTGATGGCTTCATCCAAGGTCAGCAGATCAATGTTCTCAAGTATTACTGACCACAGGTCTGGTTGACTAAGAGCTCCCACCTTCACTGATTTTATGTTTTGTATCACAAGCGAACGGAGATGATTGATAGAGTTGTTGTAAATGTTAACTTCAGAACAGTTTTGAATTAGAAGATCAAGAGGTTTTTCTGTTAGAAATGAATTCAGTCCAAAGTTCACTGTTTTAATACCATTAATATACACAAGTTGGAGAGTGGAAGCTTGAGATGAAGTGGCCAGTGAAAACTCCTGCAAAATATCAAACTATTATATATAAATAATGGTGTTCAAAGATAGAGATATTTTAGTTCTGATAAAGTATACCATACTTCACAAATAGGCTACATTTTCAGCTCATAAAATTAGAGTTATAAAAAAATTATTACCTTGAATTCAGAGATGTGCCTATAGTTTAATCTAAATTTATATTTAACTGGCTGGGTAGCTGAGTGGTTATAGTGCTCGCCTAGTAATCAAAAGGTCGCCGGTTCGATCCTGAGAAAAGTCAGTAGCTTTTTGATGGTTTGAAACTGGACCCAGCTGTTCCTGATCATTGGGCTTTAAATAAATGATCCTGGCTAATGAAACAGCTGATCTTAGTCAGTAACAAATGCTTGTGTAGCTTTACACAATCTGTACACAGATCATCTCACACCATTTTAAACTCATCCTTCAATCATATTTGGGTTAAAATACACGCTTAGGTGGCGTCCCCATCTCAATTGATATTGATATTGATATATATATATATATCTACTACAGTATTTGAATTTCACAGTATTTTAACAGTTCTGAGTTAGATTTTTGAAATAAAGCAGAAACAGGACAAAAGAAGTCTCCTCTGTGCTATCAGTTCTGAGTATTTTGTTGATGTTGGTCAATAAAAACACATTCTGAGATTTAGTTCAGATTGGTCTTTGTTTGATTACAGCTTATTGGCTAACTTTATTCATTTGGATTTCACTAGATGTTAAAGTCAAATAAAAGTGAAAGCAAAACATTATACAAATATAAAGATAGGCTAGTTTGTTATTTTTAATCCACATTGACAGTTACAAAAACTACAATCCTAGCAATTACACATTTGAATATAGACAAAATAAAGTACCGGTACAAGAATAGAGAAAATTATGTTGATAAAAATTCTCATTTGCTTTAATATTTATAACCATTGAATAGTCAAAGGTTGATTTACTCTATTGTTTTACAAGTAGTTGGATCGTAGAGGGTCAAAAGTCACTTACTGAAGTCAGTAAAGTATTTTAGTAACACAAGTTAATGAACCTGAACTAGTCAAAATGAGGTGTGCTCTGTACTGCTACAAGGAATAATCACACCAGTGGGACCTTGATAACCTAATCTCACTTTTCAATGTCAATCTCTGTTATCCATTACCTCCAAATTTTTTTTGTTTTTACTATCTTAACTGTAGGTTTTCTGGGGTTACAGTTTTATTTAAATAATATACACCGTGTGTCAAAACTTAAATAGTTTATCAAATAGTTTCTGTTGGGGGCGTAATGGGTGAAAATGAAAATAATTAATAACTCGAAGGACCAGAACTAATTAATAGTTCAAGAGAAAAATAATTAAATTAGAGAAAATGGCGAATCTGCAATTTGAAGGGCACTGAGGTCCCGAGATGGAATAAAATGTCTTGTGAGGGGCAAATGAGATTAGTTTTAGAGTCTAATTAAAACACACACAAAACTTTAAGGTTGTACCTTGAGTCCAATTATCCAAAGGTGGAGAGTATGGCAGCGGCGTCGTCTATGGTGGAGCGATGGCGGATGGCGGAGTCCTTAGACCGAGTGCTTCTGTTTTGTAGAATTTTGGAGAACGCAACGCACCCAAGTTCATAATCACAAAGAGCTCACTAATACGCGGAAGTCGCGGTGAAAACGTACGGAAAGTCTAGAAGTAATACACGGACGCGCACACACTGTCTTGAGGTTTGAAGAGTCTGAAAGCACTAGATCACAATTTAAGTAATTTAATCACAAACAAAAGGGGGAAATTAAAATGTATATATAGTTAAATGTACTATAGAGGAGAGGGAGGCCAGATATAATTAATCTATAGCCTAAAAATACGTTTAAGAGAGGTAAAATGGGCAATTAATGTCCCGAGATACGAGAAACGGAATACACCGTGAGTTATGGACGCCGACCGTGGACAGACAGACGCCGATCGCCGGCTTCACACTTTGAAAAATGCAATTGCGGTTTAGAGGGGTCTAGGAATTCGATGGCCAATAGGAAATGCGATTGAAGCAAACACGGCGTCAGGTGATTCATGGGTATGTAGTACAGGAAAATAGGCCTTACTGGCGGGAAATTCGAGCAGGCTTAGCAATCTCATTTGAATATTGAAAGCGGGAGTCTATTTACAATAAATTGTTACTGAGACTAAATAATATTACAATAAATGTGGTGATTTCTATACACATTAGCATGATTAATTAACCAGTGACTTAATTAACATAATGATTAATTTCTAAATACTCTAAAAATATGAATACCGAACATTCCGGCCCCCTTGAAGCATTACAGCTTCAACAGACAATTAATTAAAAAACACAAGAGCAAACGTAAACCACACTTAAATCTAATATGTACATAGAGTAGGTTTCTTGGACTTAGTCTTCATTGCATGGCAGAGGGAAGACCTTGTGAACAGGCCGTGTGAAAGTCCCAGAAGCTGTCTTCACTGTGACGACTCGAACTGTTCCATCAGCGCCAGGGTGAGTGGAGACGATGCGTCCAAGAGGCCAGGTGAGTGGAGGTGAATTGGAGTGAATGAGCACCAAGTCTCCGGTCTTCAAATTCTCATGAGGGGTGGTCCACTTGGATCGCTGCTGGAGGGAGTGGAGATATTCAAGCTGCCAACGCCTCCAGATACGCTGGTGAAAAGCCTGGACAAGCTGCCACTGACGAAGACGATTGAAGGGCACTTCGGACAGGTGAGGTTCCGGCAGGGCAACTAATGGAGCTCCGATGAGGAAATGTCCAGGGGTCAGCACAGAAATTTCGGAAGGGTCTGAACTAAGAGCTGTAAGAGGGCGCGAGTTTAGCATTGCCTCTACTTGAATGGACAAAGTTTGAAATTGGGTTAAAGTTAAAATGGTTTCACCAATTACCCGTTTCAGATGGTATTTTGCACTTTTAACGGCACTTTCCCATAAGCCACCTTGATGAGGTGCAGAGGGGGGGTTGAAATGGAAGTTAATTCCTTTGGGGGTGGTGAAATGAACAATTTTGTCCTGCGAATCAGGTGTAAGGATGGTTTCACGGATTACCTTGCGTAATTCCGAGTTTGCACCAACAAAGTTGGTTCCGCAGTCAGAATACAGATCGGAACAGAGTCCGCGTCTCGACACAAAACGTGTGAGAGCGGCAATGAAGCCTGAGGTAGTAAGATCGGTGACTACCTCTATATGAATAGCTTTGGTAGCCATGCAGATAAAAATACACAAATAGACCTTAATCTGTCTAAGAGCTTTGAGACTGCAAACGCGAACACTAAATGGTCCGGCGTAATCTACGCCTGTAGATGAGAATGGACGAGTAGGATTGACCCGATGAGCAGGTAAATCACCCATTAGAGGGATTTTGTTTCGTGGTTTATTTTTAAAGCACACAAGACACTTAAATATGCGCGAGCGGATAACGCTCCTGGCCGATAGAATCCACACTTTTCGGGCGAGTAGTGATTGAGTTAGTTGCGGACCTGAGTGCAAGTGTACCTGGTGGTAAAAGTCTATAAGCAAATTCACTACAGTATGAGACTTGGGTAGAACAATAGGGTGACGTATGTCATGAGCAAGCGAACAATGTGACAATCGGCCACCGACGCGTATGAGACCATTAGGGTCGAGGAAGGGGGTGAGTTTCTGTAATTGTGCAGAACATATTGAGCCTTTGTTCAATAATTTAATATCCGCACTGAAATGGAGTTTTTGCACTAGTTTAAAAATTGTCACTTCCGCTAGATTTAATTCACTGAGTTTTAAGTGTCCAGAGAGTTTGTTTTTAGACCTGGAATAGTTTATGAATCGTAGTACATAAGCTAGCACACGGGTTAGTTTCAACCAAGATGAATATTTAGACAATAAGTCCCATTCCGAAGGGGCGACTGTTGCACTAAGTACACTAAGAGGAGTTTCTTTAATTTCGTCCGTGGGAGTGAGTTCAGACGGCGAAAAACATGAGGGGGGCCAGTTGGCCGCAGGGAGCTGTAACCATGGTGGGCCAGTCCACCATAAGGGATGGTCAATGAAAGATGAGGCTAGAATTCCTCGTGAGGCACAATCAGCGGGGTTTTCCGTCCCTTTTATGTGCCGCCACTGATAACTGGGAATGATTTCTTGCACTTGGGCTACACGATTAGCCACAAAGGTCTTTAGTCTGTATGGAGGGGTTTGTAGCCAAGTAAGAACTACAGATGAGTCACTCCACAATACAGTGGTATTCGTAGTAAGAGAGTTAAATTGTTTTTCACAATAATGCACTAGTTTTGATAAGAGGTGAGCTGCACACAATTCCAAGCGGGGTAAAGTTACCTTTTTTAACGGGGCAACACGAGTCTTAGACAATATTTGTTTCACAATGACTGTTTTGTCACTAGATTCACACCGGAAATACACTACCGCGGCATAACCGCATTCCGATGCATCACAGAAACCGTGAAGCTCGATATCAGAGGAGTGAGCGAGCGGAAATGCTCGGGGGATCTTAATTTGACCGAGGTGGTCTTTGGTGTTACTAGTGAACACATGCCACTTATGTGCGAGATCAGAAGGGAGAGGGTCGTCCCAATCAAGACCTTGAGTCCATAGTAATTGCATGAAGCATTTTGCTACCATGATTAATGGGGACAAAAATCCACAGGGGTCATATAGTTTGGCAATAAAGCTGAGCACGGAGCGCTTAGTCAGCTTTTCAGACGGGGGGTTGAAAGCGTAACAGAAACAGTCTTCTTCAGGAGACCAATGGAGACCTAGGATGGAGTACTGGGGAAGCTGAGCGTCTTGCAGGAAACTTGGAGTCTCTAGATGTTCCGAAGGAAATTTTTCTAGAAGAGCAGAGGAGTTGGAGGCCCACTTGCGAAGTTCAAAGCCACCACGATGTAGAAGTTGGATGAGTTGATCCTGTAGTTCAAGAGCAGCCTCAACGGAGTCAGCACCCGTGATAATGTCGTCCACGTAGGTGTGATGACGTAGAGAGTGAGAAGCCTGAGGGAAGGCATCA